CTAACGGGCTCGGCAACTGAGCGGAATTCGAGGGTTCCAACACAAGTTGAAGCAAGCAAAGGGGTGAAGACCATGTGGTTTCGAGGTGATATGCAAACAACATCATAAATTCTAGTGTCAAGCCCCTTGAGAAATCGACAGGCTGCCCATCCAGTACCAAGGACAACCACTCTAGGCTTTTCACCTGGCTTGGTGGCCTCTAATCCTGGATACCTTGGTTCATCATATTCTGACTCTGACTCCACTAACCGCTCTGCTGAAGGAATTCGATAATGTGGGGTTGTACTTATTTCCCTGCTCCCAAAGCTCATGTCATTTACCCGCTTGATTGCGGAAAGGTATGTCAAATTACTGTTCGAATTGATTTTTTCAAGGGAAGGAAGGAAACTTTTGTGGTTGGATACTCTCTCACAGAAGATATCCCTCTCACTTATGGAACTGCCAATGGCACCTCCTGATCTTCTCAAGCCACTCCTAGCAATCCGTGCCAGTGCCATGAAGTACTTGCTTTAACCAAATTCTAGCAAGTTAGGACTTTTGTATCTGCCCTGGAAAAAATATTAGAGAAGTAAGCTATGCAATTGCAATATAGCAGAAGGCCTAAATTCAGGACAGAATTATATAGAGAAGTAAGCTATGCAATTGCAATATAGAAGCAGGCCTAAATTCAGGACAGAATTATACAGAAAAGCAATGCAAGAACTCCTAAGTATTTGGACGTATACTCCGGTCCAAACAAAATTAACAGAAGTTCGTTCCAATGTGAGAACGATTGTTTCCAAGGCCACAAGACAAGAAAGCAAATGCCAACTTTGCTTTATTCATTTATTGAAAGCAGATACAAATTGCGGAAGGAAGAATTAATGAACACGTAAAGCTGTCATTCCTTATATGACCAACCAAACCATTAGGTGAACTCTTTTGGGTGCCATAGAAAATGGGAAATGGGGAACCTAACCTTACACATATTTTAACATGGTAAAACTAAACAGCTATCAAATATTCTTGTATTGTCCAATTGTACCATACGTTCACTATTGACAACGGTAGATCAAGACCAGGATACCATACCAGTACCATGGTATCCTGGGGTATAAAAATCCAAGAAAAGTCAAGCACGTGATACACCAAACTTAAACAAAATGAACTGGTGACACTAAACGAAGATAATATTAGAGTTTACATGTGAAAATAGAATTGCTTAAACTCGTGGGGTTGGCATTTAATTCATAGCAGGTACCAGCTAACACCCCTGCTTTACCTACGAAGAAAACTCCCAAGGGTTTTCTGTGAAATCTATAAGACACCAAGAGCATGTGAACGATAATTGCCAAGAAAGTTCTGACTTTGCAAGAAATGTGTCACTAAAAGCAACGTTTTGTGGAGTAGGCCTAAACGTGGAGTAGTACATAATTGAAATAACGTGGGCATCTCTTTCAAGAATATGCTTTGATTTCAACGATCAACATGGGAAAGACAAGAGGTGGCTTAATTAACATTTGACCAAAGCAGCTATCTTACTATTTATATTAGAAAATAACAGAGATCAACAAGCACCATGAATTGTTTAACATATGGAAATCACTGAAACGGTAAACCATTGTCTCAAATACGTACAACGCTTAAGTACGAAAGATTCCAAAAACAAAGATTTGTCTCCAAGCAAACTCACTTAAAAATCAATCTTAACAGTTTAACATTACCATGTGATGTGAATGCACTTAAAATAGAAGGAGGAAACCTGAGGATTGCACAGATCTTAATAACACCCCGGATAAAAAAAAGGGTCAAATACTTCTATTTTGAAGCTAACAAGAACCAAACTCTTATCAAACATACAACATACAAATAATGTGAACCGTTAGAAATAATTATTAAAACAGAGCAAACTTTAAGAGCAAAATTGCTACGAGAAGAGATTGGAAACAACAAGAAGAAGTAAAAAGAAGGAACAAACTTCGGAACAGAAGGTTGAAGAACATTACTTTTGTAAATATTTGAGGTTTTTTCTTGTTTGCAAGCTTGAAATGGGCGAGTGTACCCAAGATTCTTGGAAATGTTTTGAGAGTCAAAAGTTATGCTTTGTTTTCACAGAACAAAACAAGAATCAAAACCCAATGTAAGTTTTTATAGTTGGTGAAGTTTGTGAGTAGAAATAAAATAAGAGGGAGATCAAGCTCAATGCTCAAAGGCCAAAGCAGCCGACTTGAGGTGCAAGGAAGTTGTTGAGCAAAGAAGCACTCTCTCTAAAACATGCATATTATATTGAGTTTTTTAGTGGTAGAAGAAAAGAAGAAAGAGGAAACAGGCAGTACAAAAATGAAGTTCGAGGAAGGAACCAGGGAGCTTGCTGCTGTATATTCTGGGCCTGCAAGTGAGTTGCCAATGGAAACACAAATGCAAGAATTTTAAGGAAAGAATCTTCTCTGACTCCTTAAAGACAAGATTGTCCTTTGTTAGGGTAGCTTGTCTGTAAGATCAATGAAGGGTAGTTTGGGGTAGTATGTTAGATTCTTGGAATATTTCTGGCCCCAAGCTGGCTATGGCAGCTGTGTACAAACCCTAGTGCAAGCAAGAGGTGACCAAATGTGGTGCAGTCTACGACCATGAATAGCTTGGTGGCGACATCTCTGAACTCTTCATATACAAAAGTCAAACAGTCCCCCAGCTTTTTTGGAAAACGGTACACAAAGTGAACGGCTAACTGGCTAGAGAGGCTTCCAAGCTTCCATTGATGGACCCACCAATGAGAACGAGAAAAATAAGAAGAAAAAAACAACAGTCGGTCCAAAGTGGTGTTTCGTGTCAAAGTGAGATCTTGGGCTGCAACGGTGTAGCTCTTTCTTCACGTGTCAGATTTTGACCAGGTCATTAAGGGTTGTTTTCATTGTTTGTCTCCCACGTTTCTTGGCAATGGCCAACCACAAAATAGCTTGGTATGAATTGAATTTGGCCTTTGTTTAATACCTTCAATACGATCTTTCTCGGCCTTCACTGATCTTCGATATTTAGACATGGGTCACCCCAACAAAAATAAAAGAAGGGATCATCAAAAATTTGCGATCTTAAACATTTACTACAGAACTTATGTAGTTTCAGACCAACTCTCAATTAGGTGGAGAGTAATCAAATTTGTTGCTGTAGAATTTCAGGGTTGTCCTTGTAAATTGCGTTACAGATTCGTAGAATTCCCTGTATTCTTTGTGGGCTGACTTCTTGGCAACTCTTAGTCATGCCTCTATGAAAATTTACCAATTTCTGATAGATGCTTGACCTTAAGCACATTGTTTGACACCTCAACCTTGAGGCCTAGAAAACATTACTCTTGTGGAAATTTGGGTTGATATGTATTTCCCCACCAAAATCAAATGGCATTATGCCAATACAATTTTGCAGTGGTCATAAAGAGAATTGGTAGGATGGTCGATGATTATTGTATCAGAAAAATGAACTTTGTAATGTTTTCTTTGATTCTTTGAGGTTGCAGTAGACAAATCATAACATAAGGTTTGAAGGGCTTTGCTGCTGCATTCCTTTCCTTTTGCTAATAAGAAAGGTAGGAGTTTGGCAACCATGATGTTGATTCTTGGTTATGCCTTGTAGTCTGTTAGAGGTAGTTCCCCATGCCTTGGCTGGAAAAAGAAATGCCAGTTGTTTGTTCTGCCTGTTTTATTAATGACGCTTGGGGGCCATCTAATATTGAAGACACTAGACTATGGGCCATGCGTTGCACACGGGCCTGTTTCTACCTGTTTTTTTCTTTCTCTTTCTACCTCTCTTTTTCTTTCCTTTTTGTCCTTTTTCTTTTGCCCTCCACGTGGCTAGAGGATGAAGCCCCAAAGTAATGTTATAGATTGCTGTTTTTTTGTAATTATAAGGTTAAATTATAAAGTACAAATGAATAGATACAATGCTGATCAACATTGAACATACATGCATACATAAATAATGTTATTCTGACAAGTCAAATTCAATGATGTTGTGGTTAACAAAGCATCTGTCTAGTTTTTTGGTCTTTTGCTTTTGCATCTGTTAGGTTGCTGCAGCAAAACCTTCCTCAGGCTGACCAAACACCTTGTTCAAGATCATGGCTAATCTAACTCCTCCTTGAGCAATCCTTTTCATGACAATTGGCATTCTGGAATTAAAGTATTCATCTGTAACCAAAAATAGTAAGAATTAATAGCACCTTCAGTCCTTTGCTTTCAGAAACGTACCTAATGTACTTTTATTGGTGGCATGTTCTGGGTTTCAATGCTTTACGCAATAGTATTCTCACCTGCCAGAGTTTCACCAGACTTTACGCCCTCGTAACCCCATTTGCAAGCTATGTTTATGCTCTCTGTAGCATACCTGCACAGATGGATATGGAAGCTTGATTACACAGATTAGGCAATGGAAAAAACCATTTTCCTGAATTTTCCTGATGGGGTTGTAATTGTTTGAAAGAGGCTGGAAGCTTACTTGTTCAAACAAGGTAGAAGATCACCACATTCTTGCCATGATGCTACATCATCAAACCAGATCCCCTGTATGAAAGTAGCAATTAATGGTATAATACAGATACAAGCTAGAACTAGTAGTAACTGAGTATAAATTCTAAAATAGTAAAATAAATGTGACTACAAGGAAGTTAGCAAATTGAACTTACATCAGTGAGGTTCCGCACGATCTCTTCTTGAAGGCTGTCCAGGTTCTTTTCATAGTAGTCTGCAAGAGCTGTAAGGACGATCTCCCTGTCCCATACCTGTGAATTGTTGGAAATTCATATTTGAGTATCGTTTTCCCTTTAGGGGAAGGAATTGAACAAATATATAACCTCTGTATTAATTACTCACATGATGCAGATTAGATTTGTGCCTAAACCAGCGCAACGCAATGGCGTTTCCTCCTTCATCACTTGTAAAACCAACGTGCATTGGCTAAAAGAAAGAATAAAGAATCAAACTCACCAAAGCAAAATGATGATACAGAAAAGTGTACGCTAGACAAGTCCACATATTTAAACCTGATGGACATCTCCCATGAAGTGTGACAAAAACAACAAGGCCTCTGTCATGTTATCTGCAGAAACATAGAAGCCATGGTATCGAATCAAAACATATTACTAGGAAACATAATATTTAATTCAGAACAAGTCCTTACGTCGACGATCTGAAGTTCCCTCCCTGTAGTGCAAAAGCTGTGAGGTGAAGTTTTGGATAGCCCCAGTAACGCACATGTCCTTCACGCTGTGTGGATCATGACAGTCCCCTAAAACAGATGATATTTAATTACATTATTCATAATTCAGGTGATTTTATGTCGTTTTATCACCAAAAGATTGCTGAGCTTTCTTCTTACTTGAATAGTCATACGTGCAAGCATCATCTGGAGTATCAATGAAGTGAAGTGAGCTTGTCCATCTATACCTGTACCAATGCCGGATTTGGTCGGGCCATACACAGAGGGACGACAGGTCTCCATTGGCGTAGTGCGGTAGCAAATTTTCAACAGCTTCTGCAGCCTCGGGCTCTAAAAGACCCTATAAAATTGGGGCAGTAAATATATTTGTCAATGGTTTTTTGCTCAGAGAAGCCTTTGAGTATTCTTTGGCATGCTTTGCAGGCATGACTTCCACATATGGTGCATGAAATCGTTTGCATAAGATAGTGAATATGCTAAGAAGTAAGGAATAAAACAGCTTGAGCAACTTGGAAAGCTTGACCTTGGAAATGATTCAACAAGGGTTATCTTTATAATATTTTCCTATTTTACGTTTTGCCAAAAGACACGGAAAAAAGTCTCATGCAAGATAGCCAACTTGATGAACAAAACATGACTTTGATTTTTCAGTGTTGTGCTTATCTTATTTATCATCAGATCGCAGGTTTATATAATATAGTTTCATCAGACTCGGCGTACTTGAGGAAGACCTGGCTTCCCTTAATGATGGAACCGTTTTGAATCAGACTACCAGATCAGAAGGGGAGAAAAGGGAAGTCATTAATGTACAATATATATTACCTGCGCAATCCGACAAGTCAAAATGTGACCCTCTTTGCTCCAGCCATGGGTTCTGGGCAATAAAATGAAAGCCAGACCCACCAACAAAACAAACCCAAATGAAGACGACCTCCACAAGGAGATCATCCTCAAAGTCTTTCTTGCTGCCTGTTAGACCTAATGTTTTTGTTTGTCAGTCGTGAAAACACACAACAAACTGACACCATCAGAGCGGATATATATATATATATATATATATATATATAGACACATACAAACACACACCTTAAACAGGTTATCATTAAGTGTAAGAATACTTCCACCATTTCACGTATCCTAAAGGTTGACTCAAACACAAGCAAGGTGGGACATATTCGGGTATCCGGGCGGTATCAGCAAAATAACAGGCCTAGAGTCAGCGATAAACATAAAGTACATTATCATTTCTTGCCTTGCAAGAGTTAACAAGGGGATAAATGATTAATAATGTTGGTACATAGGTCTCGTGTTGAACACTTTGAGCTATGAACGTTACTACAGCGGCCCCTACTTCATATTTTACAGATGACTCTCGGGTTATCTATCTTCATGCTCGAGCAATTTTCACTTCAGAAGTAAATATTCGGTTGAGCACTGCAGCAAGGCGAATCCCACCTTGAGCAAGCCTCTTCTCCACAATAGGCAACCGAGAGAGGAAATAATCATCTGCAGAACAAAAGAAGAATGCATTAAAACAAAGATTAGACATAAATTTCATTAGAATAGCTTATCTTATGGGGAAAGGTGATCAAGTAGTACATGACATTATCTCTGCCTTTTAGCATGTCTTCATATCAACCATGGCAGGTTGCGTAAAAAGCTGTATTGAGTTGGCCATATGCAGGAAAATAATATTTATAGGAATGGTCCAACAGAAAAAGATAAGAAATGGCGCTGGCTAGCAGAGAGAGCATCATTGGCTACTTTTACCAACATCCACGTTAGTTTTCTATCTCACAAAAGTATGTTTATGCATTCTAAAAGGCATTGTTCAGCTGATACTTCTATCCTGTACAACCTCATTAAGATGATGAGTTGGTTTCAAAACCAGGCGTGGAGTTTCCACATTCCAATGTTTTATTAGCCTTTAATATTTAGCAGCAAGCAGATCTAAATCAAGACATAAATATGCACCTAAGATTTCAAAACTTGCTGGTAGGTAACTTTTCCAAACACAGTTTCAGTCAAAGCAAAAGATAGCGCATAAAATACAGGAACCAGATCTGTTATAGAGCAGGGTAAAAAGGTCAGTAATCCGGTCAGGCTTAGGCCAGTTGATACATAGAGAAGCAGTGATTCTGCCATCTCTCTCCAACAAGTTTTCACTTTGATCACCTTTCAAAAAAAAAAAAAAAATCGCTTGGATCTATTTAACTCAACAACGGAGCAAAGAGAAGTTCCATATAAGGATCAATTTTCATTTGATAAAGAAGTGCCTTACAATTATCAAAGAAGAAAAGAGGAAGAAGAATTAAATACCTTCTAAGGTGCTTCCAGGCGTGGCATTCCTGTATGCAAACTTACATGCCAACCTAACACTTTCAGAAGCATACCTGTATAACAGAGGCAATTTATTATGTCTACTGATGCCAGTTTCTTACAGAAAATGCAATTACTTTCTTTCTTTGCCACTTAAAATATGAAAGTCAGAGATCCACTAAATATGTGTTTGATTGTTAGGAGCATGTATATCTACATATGTATATTTCCACTCAGGTTTCTTTGGCATCAGGGAACAAGCCTAACTAAAGAAAACATTTCTCTCTTAGGGATGCAGGAGTAAACCGAAATATGAACTGGTGAACATTTCATACAAGTGAATGGATTAATTTGTTATTAGACATAGGTATCAAGCAAAGCATAGACATATAAACCGTTCTTTCAGCACTTAATGTGCTTTAACAATTCACATCACAGTTAGTATAGTTGAAGCAGTCCATCATATGCATCAGAAAGAGTTGAAAGAAATATGTTGTGAGATAAACTTACAGGTTAGGACAAACTGTATGATGATGTCCACAATATTCCCATGATGGTATATCATTGGACCAAGCATCCTATAGATGAATAATGAAACATAAGAACAGCAGTAAATATCACATTGTTACATATGCATTTGCATAGGCATAGTTAAACATACATAAACCCTAAAGCAAAGCAGGGAAAAAGAAAATCCCAAAACAACAAAAAAGGGGCAGAGGGAACCTAAACTTGGGTGTTTTGCTTGTATTTGTTAATTGAATCAAATACGCTGAACTATTCAAGACACTCAAAAGACACAAACATAAAGCCTTCTATTGTCTCCTGAGTTTACTTCAATAGTTTACACCTTTAAAAGTAAACATTGCTTATCCGCTATCCATAATAGCTACATGCACAAAATGAACATGAAGGAAAACAAAATGCTTACTGTAATATTCCTCTGGATGGCTTGAATCATTATTGCAAGATCCGATCCATAGAATGTCTTCAGTGCAGAATCAATAATCATGGTATCCCAGACCTGGAACAATGATAGCATTGGATAAATGCATACGGACAGAATAAATAAGCCCCAAACACATATGCACACTTTCCCATGCATGAGTTTACAAGCACCTTTTGACACGAATCTCTTCTTTTAAAAACTTGTTAAAAAAGGAAGATCTCCATCCAAACATTCTGACAAACAAGTCAGGCCAAAAGAAGAGCTATCACTGGATCTAATAGCAGTCAAGGAGGCAAGGAGATGGTTTTCTTGACTGAGACATATAATCACATCTCCAGCACCTATCATTTCCCTTTTTCCATTTTATTTATCTCACTATTAGAGAGAAGAAGTGACAACTGACAAGTTGACTCAAAGGTACTTGTTATTGAATGGCCTCTATGATGTCTTTTAACCAGCCATTGTTGTTTTGAACTGGCCCACCTCCACCATAAAAAAAAAAAAAAAAAGAGAGGAGACAACTGCTGTTTGAGTTTTAACTATAGCATATAGTGGCTACATATAGAAAGTAATACTTTTGCATATTTAATTCGCTTCAAAATCATTTTCCTGCTTATCACACGGAAAATGAAAAAGGGATGCTGGAGGGAGATGCACTTAAAAGGACAATGAAATGAAGTGCTCACATGGTGTAGATTCGTCTTCCTACGATACCAATGGACTGTAATTGTATTTCCACCTAAATCTCCTGTGAAGCCAACATGTAATGGCTGTAATCAGAAAAGAAAAAGTTATATTGGAATGTACACTCTCTTTTTCCAATAGAAATAAGTAACAAATTTCCTTCCATGTTTCCATGTGAAAAAAAGAAGCTAAATCAGTTTAAAGAAAAGGATAAAAGGATACAAGCAATGCATACTAGATGGCTCAAAAAGATGGGTAAGAATTAGTTATAAAATCATGGCTCTGCAGCCAATGTTGGCTCCAAAAATTCACCATAATACCACATAGAACATGATAAAGAACCATAACTACAGACAATATTCATTGTACATACAACATGATAGAGAATCATAACTACAGAAAATATTCATTCTACCTTCCTAAAGTTTAGCATTTTAAAGATACAATAATTCGTTCTAAACTGACGGGCTTTAAAGATTAAGCTATTGCATTTAAAGACAATTGGTTTTCTGCAAGCACCCTTCCTATGAACCATATGAGAAGGCTAGTAAAAACACTGTTTGAAAAATCTGTAACACTCTTCTATAGTTAAATCATGGTAAACGAAGTAGGTTTACACCAACCATTTTTCTTCTTTTGAACTTGTTGATAAAGTAATAGTAGATTCAAAGAAATATTTTGTGAGTTATTGATGATAATAAAACATAGTCCTTAAATCAACTCAGTCATTCAGCCTATTCCCATATATATGCAACTGCATCCGTTGAAGGATTGCATCCTTTGGAATTCCTTTAAGTTCAGTGATACCAGCAGAACAGTACAAACCTGATGGACATCCCCCATAAAATGAGCTAAGAACATAAGTGCCTCTGTCAAATTGTCTGTCACCAACAGAAGAAGAGTCTCCATATAATAAACCATTGAGGTTGAAAAATATTATGTCATAGCATGTGTAAGTGTCAACCCAGGAGTACAAACAATACTTACATTTCAACTTGGGCTTATAGTCCTGATATGCTGAAAAGAGTTGCCTTGTATAGTTGAAAATTGCTCCAGTTACACAACTATTTTTATGTCCAGCAAGATCATGGCAGTCACCTATAAGAATACCACAGCACATTATATAGGATAATTAATGTCAGTGGAGATGTCAAGCTCACGGATATTAACACTGAAAAATGAACAAAACAAGCACAAAAAACATGACTATAAAACACCAAACTTACGCCAGTATTTATAGTTACACTTGAAATCTGGGGTGTCAACATAGTGTAAGGAACTACTCCAGTGCCAGTTGTAGTACCACTTTATATCATCAGGCCAGGAGCATACAGATGCAAGCTCACCTTTAGCTGAATCCGGGAGCAGTTCCTTTACTGTAGCCAAAGCATCTTCAGTAAGATATCCCTGAAGGATCAAGAAGGGCATAATCAGATGAAATTGGCAACATCTTCAGACTCACAAGCAAAACACACAAAACATCATGCCATCAAGAATTTCATTCTTTGTATCAAGTTTTGCAGATTCTCTTGCAAAATGTGGAGTTAATAAAGAGTCTATGTTCTCTGCGTGGTGGTAGTTTGCCTCTGTTTTCTTCTGTTCCATTTATGGCCCGCCATTCTCCTCACATGAAGCTGGTTTGGATTATATGATATTTCCTGCCTGCACACTTAAAGTCATAGAGGTTATAGGTTGAACTGTGTTTTGTGTTCATGATTATTGTTCTAATTTTTAACATCATAGGTTATCTGAACTGATGGTTTAGAACTGACATCCTTGAGTTTGTGTCTCTATGTCTGATATTCAAGGCTGGTACTGCCAGTTTGCATTTTGTACAAGATGTCAAGGCGCCTTATGTTCTGCACAACCAGACAAACTCTAGTCCCTCTTGTTCTTCCTGAACTCTTCCAGATTCTCTTGGGATGATTAATAGAATATCTATTCTGATTTGAGAAAAAAAAAAAAAAAAGAACCAATCCACATACCTGAATCCATAATTTATTAAAGCTGGTTCCATGAACATTGAAGCTAATCATTGTTAATAACTGTTTTTTCCTTAATCAAGCACTATGATCTTATGTTCAAAACATTTGGAATGCAACAAACAATACACAAAAGAAAAAATTCAAAAAGAAAAAGGAAGTCTCACCTCAGCTATCTTGCAAACAGCATAATGACCCTCCTTTCCCCAACCAATTACCCCATGAACTAATAGCATAAGAACAAGCACCCTTCCAATCCAAAGTAGCTCATGCCAACCCATTCTTCTAAAACCCATGAATTCTGTAAAGTTTCAAAAGACAACCTTTTTAATTTTGTTTTAAGAAAAATGCTCTATTTTTCATGTTGACACCTCTGTTTGATTGATAAGAAGGTGAATAGAGAGAAAAGAACAGAAAAATCCCATTTTGAGCCCAAAATTCAACTCCTTCATGAGTTTCAGAAAAGGGGAGAAAAGGGAAAAACTTTTTTTTCTTTAATATGGAAAACATAAAATGGTAACAAACATTTTCACACGAACCAAACAAAGAGAAAAACCAATACCGCTAAATATCTTGTCTTTGATCACCGGCAAAAGTGCAAACCCTGTCTTAGATTTTCGCGATCAGGGGGCTTAGTATCGTTTTAACGGACATACCGTCGAGCTTTACCTGAAAAGCAAGCATGCCTTTCTTCTTTCCTGTTCTTTCCCCTTTTTTATCCTTCTTCTTTCGTGGAGTTAAAACTCGAAAGTGAAAGTAAAGAGACAGCAATAGTAATTTTATCATAATTACGGATAAAAAGATTAAAAGAATAGCCGAAGAGCGATATTTCCTTCAAAAGAAAAAACAAAACACTTTAGAGGCTATTTTAAATTCCTTTTAAACCAGTTTTAACACAAAGATCATATACTTAGAAACACTCACAATAGTGAAGGCTAAGCATTGCAAAATTGATAAGAAAATATTATCAAAACAATCTTATATTATATTTGGTAAGGTAATATAAAGTGGAAAGAGCATAAAGTTACTTATCTTGCTAGATAGAGGAATGGCTTTGGAGATGAACCAAAGAGGAAGTCTAAAGATCATGGCAGTCCGTTGGTCCCCTTTGATAAGTACTTATAGCAAATTATTAAATTGGTCAATTATGTGGCTCAAAAGTGTTGATCTTACAAACAATGCCGTATTATACTTGCCATCTCTCTTCTCAAAGAAAAATTAATGAACTTTACCCATAAAGCTCTTATTTTTATTCCAACTTATACCCAGGACCCATTTCCTCTATTATCCATCAAACTACAGCGTGCTAGACTTAGAGCGAAAATAAAAGCAAAGAAATGAAGGCAATAGTGATAACAACGCCAGGAGGCCCAGAGGTGCTGCAGTTGCAGCAAGTTGATGACCCAGAAATCAAAGACGATGAGGTCCTCATCAAGGTAGAGGCCTCTGCTCTGAACCGGGCTGATACTCTCCAAAGGAAAGGTGCCTACCCTCCTCCTAAGGGTGCTAGTCCTTACCCTGGTCTTGAATGTTCTGGCACTGTCCTTTCTGTTGGCAAGAATGTTACCCGCTGGAAAGTTGGTGATCAGGTAATTGATTCCATTTCCTAGAAATATAATCCATAAGGGTTTCATTCAGAAGGTGTGATTTTTATCAATGATCCACTGTTTTTCACGAGGTGAGGTTTAAAGATTAGATTTTTAAACGGTAGTAGGACAAGTGATATCGTCGATAGCTGGCTGCAACTTCAGTGAGTAGTTTCTTGTATGTTGTTTGACAAGCTGCGTTACGTAGGTGTGTGCTCTTCTTAGTGGCGGTGGCTATGCTGAGAAAGTAGCAGTTCCAGCTGGACAAGTTCTTCCAATCCCACCTGGGGTTTCTCTCAAGGATTCTGCTGGTTTACCTGAAGTGGCTTGTACTGTTTGGTCCACTGTTTTTATGATGAGTCGCCTATCTGCTGGAGAGACATTCTTGGTAACCTCTTTATCCACTACTTTTACCTATATAAATCAATCAATCTTGTCCTTAATGTTGTGTAATGCTTGGTTTGCTAGGATAATGGATATGCTTTAATGAGACGTTCTCAATTATAATTGGATCTTGTAGATACAGCTGTGTATCCCAATTTTCTCCTCCTATTCGTACTTTATTGTTGTCAAATGTTTTTAATCTAAGGTCTACTGAGTTACAACCTAATACATTTAGGCTCGAAGTGTATGTTCAAATGCTTGAATTTTGATGACATGTTCATTCCTCCTATTTCCTTCTGTCAACAGCATATGGCCTGTCCATCAATTAGCCTACTGTCTTTCAAGATAACATAGGATTTACTTGTCCTTATGACCAGCAGAGAATATCACCGAATGCTTGAAAATTAACTTGTTTAGGTATCAATTGAAAGAATATGGTGCTTGCATTAACAATTGTTTATGATGCCTGACTAGATATTCAATATATTTTTCTGTTTCTCTGTTTCTTTTTAGTATCTCTGCAGCTTTCTAGTTTGTGATCCATTGCTTAACATGTGAACTCACTGGTATTGGAATTTCAGGTCCATGGTGGTTCTAGTGGAATTGGCACTTTTGCAATTCAGATAGCCAAGACCAAAGGAGCAACAGTGTTCATCACTGCAGGTCTACCTGTAATTATGAATCAATCATAAATTGTTTGTCTCCCTTTATTTTTATATTTAGATATTGTAGTGTTGATCTCCAGGGAGTGAAGATAAATTAGCTTTTTGTAAGAATCTTGGTGCTGATGTGTGCATCAATTACAAGACAGAGGATTTTGTTACACGTGTTAAGGAAGAAACTGGAGGGAAAGGTATCTCTTTCGTTTTGTGATTGATTGTATCTCTTGTCTGCACTCCGAACTGAAATTGTTGCTCTAATATTAAGGACCCACTTTTACTCAGCATCTACTCATTCAATTCAAATTCTCAAATGTTCAATGGCAGGTGTTGATGTAATTCTGGATTGTATTGGAGCAGCCTACCTTCAGCGAAACCTGGACAGCTTAAATTTTGATGGAACGCTTTGTCTTATTGGCTTCCAGAGTGGAGCAGTCACCGAAATTAAACTGAATACTTTACTTCCAAAGCGCCTCACAGTACAAGGTACCAGAAAAAACAAAAAGAACATAAAGCGGAAGAGATATTCTTTAGAAAATATTACAAGCCACATACACCTCCACAGATGCATCCACCATATCCATGCTTCCCCCTTCTCTAATACTAGAAAATAATACTGCTTCTATGTCATTCTTATATTCCACATATCTTGCATCTGCTGCTAAAATGGTTACAACACAAAGAACTCCACTATTCATTGTAGTGGCATGCTAGAAGCATGTCCTTTTTAGATCATAGTACATTATAGGTTTATGTCATTTGATGCTTTTGTATTCAGGGGCTGCCTTACGGCCAAGAAGTCGTGAAAACAAAGCAATGGTTGTAAATGAAGTGGAGAAGAATGTTTGGCCAGCAATTGCAGCAGGCAAGGTGAAGCCTATAATCTACAAATCTTTTCCCTTATCTGACACTGGGGAGGCTCATCGGCTCATGGAAAGTAGTGAGCATATTGGGAAGATACTACTTGTTCCATGATGTTGCTAAAGGTCTTGTCTTCTATTTGGGACAATGGTGGCTCATTTGATGATAAAATGAGCCACTTGGGAATTATGTTTATGTAGTTTATTTTGCGTATGCCCTTGTGACCTAATTTAATCTTATGAAGATGAAAATCATAGAGAACTGATACGTTGTGAATGATTTTCAATCCTTGCCAATGGCGTTATCTGAGAAAGATAATAAAAACTAGTCGCAGTCTTGTGGATTGCATTTAGTTGACCTTAACACTGTAAATTCGAAAAAGGGTAAAGAGTAATGCACATGACTATCCAAAGTTTTGACATATTGAATGAAAATCTGACATTTGAAATTCAAAGACTGCACTTATGCTTAGGCATTGGATATCTTGTTCTAAAGTGCAAGTTAATGGCTTGAGAGCAGATAAAGGTAAAGAAAACAGCATCAAATATTTTTTAGGTACAATAGTAAGCTAGTATTAATTTCCTTTGCAAAATCAGGTTACAAAGCACCAGATGGCAACATCTCTTAAGGCAATGTGGGATACGATAAGGGGTTTGGACAAGCATGCGTGGGGGGGGGTTGGTTGTTGGGGAGGAGAATAATTATTAGCCAGTTCCAAACAAAAACAAAGTTCCAAGCCAACGCTTTGTTTAAACTAAATCATAAGAACGAGTCATTTTCTATACAATCATTAAGAAGAACATAAACTATATAAAATTTAGACTCGCGAAGTCCACTGCCAATAAGTTACAGATACAAACAAGCGGTTTCTGTCAAAAGACTCAAATCCAGCCATGAAGGTTATATTGATAACAAGTCCAGGTGATCCAGAAGTATTGCAGCTACAAGAAGTGGAAGACCCCAAAATCAAAGACGATGAAGTCCTTATCAAAGTTGAGGCTGCAGCCCTGAACCGTGGTGATATCTACCAAAGACAAGGCTTTTACCCTCCACCCCAAAGTGCTAGTCCTTACCCTGGTCTTGAGTGCTCAGGCATCATTCAATCAGTTGGAGAAAATGTTTCTCGATGGAAAGTAGGAGATAAGGTGAATTCATCTTTATGCATATCTATATGTATATACAAATACTCATAAACTGGTGTCTTGCTGCATACAAAAGTCAAATGGCTAAACATGAGCTTCTCTTTTAAGGGTTTTGTTTTATTTTTCTGTTATTGCTAAAGGTGTGTGCTCTTCTAAGCGGAGGAGGATATGCCGAGAAAGTGGCTGTTCCAGCAGGGCAAGTTCTTCCTGTTCCGTCGAGTGTTTCATTGTCGGATGCTGCCTCTTTCCCAGAGGTAGCTTGCACAGTCTGGTCAACTGTTTTCATGATGAGTCGGCTGTGCGCCGGTGAAACGCTTCTGGTAATAACATATTATCCTATCTCACTTTTTCCTTTTTCTGATGCATGATAATATATGCTAATAATGTTAAGAATTGATTGGATATAGATCCATGGGGGCTCTAGTGGAATTGGTACATTTGCCATTCAGATTGCAAAGTTCAAAGAAGCAAAAGTTTTTGTCACAGCAGGGGATGAGCAAAAATTAGCCTTTTGCAAGGATCTCGGAGCTGATGTCTGCATCAATTACAAGACAGAGGACTTTGTAGCCAGGGTAAAGGAAGAATCAGGAGGCAAAGGTATAAATTATATCAACATCGACCTTAGATTCTTCAACATTAAAAGACCAATGTGTTCTAACTAAAATTTTCCCACATCAATGGCAGGCGTTGACGTTATTCTGGATTGTGTTGGAGCAGCCTACCTTCAGCAAAACCTTGACAGCTTAAATGTTGATGGCAGGCTTTTTATCATTGGCTGCTTGAGTGGATTTGTTGCAGAAATAAAGATCGGAACTATCTTTGTAAAACGGCTAACAATCCAAGGTAACCAGACCCTTTACTCTGTATTTTGTTGTATGGCAATGAAACCCGGAAAACTTTAGTTTTCCAGCAGTGTAATGAAAGAAAAAACATTTTAATCTGATATAAATCTTTCGTTGTGTTGATATGCCAGCATCTGCCTTGCGAACTAGAAATCTAGAAGAGAAAGCAGCAATTGTCAGTGAGGTGGAGAAGAATGTCTGGCCTGCAATCATCTCAGGTAAGGTGAAGCCAGTGGTTTACAAACACTTCCCACTAGGAGAAGCAGCAGCAGCTCACCGGCTTATGGAAAGTGGCAAGCACATTGGGAAAATACTGCTCATTCCATAATATGCTGTGAATAATCTTGCAGCTTATTATAGGTTGAGATCCTTTGTGAGAATGCTGGCTAATTTCTGTCTGCTTTGTTAGTATGAGAATAATTTATCTTCTGTCTTCATTTTTTCTTTTCTAAGTGTAAAATTTAAAGCATACATTGGTCATTCTTAAACATTTCCTTTGCATAAATCGATTTTTTTTTAAAAGGAAAGAGAAAAGAAAAAGAAGAGGAAATCCATAGCGATAAGAATTGGAATTTCAGTCACTGCATAGAGCTTCTATTGCAAGGCTTTTCAGTATACCAGGGCAAGGGTCACCAAGCTTAGCAGTGGAAACGGGTATTGAGCACTGCTCCTGACCTATACAAGCCTACAGATTCAACCAAGGAGATGCCAAAGAAATTTAGCAGATTAGCTTCTGCACGACTATAAAGCCTCAACTAAGCAATTTGCAATTAAATGTGTACCTAATATGCGTAAGGAAAGGTTGATTCTTACCTTCTGAACCATTGATAGTATGTTTGCATGACAAATTCCCGTTCTAAACTCACCACAATTTCCTTGTGGAGATCCAAAACTGGCAAAGTTAATCGAAGCAATGTGCCATCCTTTTTCACAGGTCAGTCGAGCTTCGGGAGTTTGAGACATGAAGCCTACGTTTGGTTTCCAAGAATCAGCTGGCAGAGGATCTTTTTCAGATACAAGTGAACAAATCTCTTGGCCAGTTCGTGTCAGCACAGAAATCTTTGTAGGGTCGCCGCCAAATTCTTCATGAAGGACTAGTAGGTTCTCACCAAGATGTACCCAGGAGCGTGGGATATGATATCTGGACAGCATGATTAGTTCTTCAGGAATGGCAATTATGTATTAGGATCAGTAACATGAGAGACAGAGCTAAATGAGTCCATCAGACAGAATAGTGTATTTGCAAATGGTTTGCATTTTGCATGTAGAGCACAAGAAGCAAACAGTTTTTACACAATTGAAGCATTTGCAGAATAATGGTTAGTAATCAATTTATCATGCAATGATTTGTTTAAAGAACTCAGTTTTTCAACCAATTTATCTGTAGCTCAATATTATAGCATATAGTCCTCAAACAATAACAAGCAAAATGGACCTCAATAGTGTCTTGAGGTTGATACATGACCAACATGATTAGCAAGATTCAATACTAAATCAAATCCAGAAATTTACGTAGGATCAAAATCAAATGTTTCATAAAACTTACAATGACTGAGCAGGTTGGCCACAATTCTGTTGACATTTTGTCGAATCATATTCTCCTCTGTAATCACAATTCTTAGTACAACCTTCAGATGGCGAGAGATAGGCAGGCCAGTATCGTCCTATGCTCTGTCCATTAACCCAAGCTTGACCCTTCCCCATGCTAGTGAGATTTAAGGCCAAAGGACCCTCACCTTCAGGAGCAAGGAAAGTAACCTGAGGACAAGAAACAGAATATCAGAATACAAATGCTCCAATCAATGGTTAACAATCAACCTGGTTGGAGTAAAATGACTTTCATAAGTGCATTAGGGAGTATCCAAATATATAACTGCGTTATATCTGTTCATGAAATATGCAAAATCCAAATGGGGTTAACTGTTAGTAGATCCTTGGCAAGCGACCTAGACAAGAAAGTTTATCATTATGCAACCATTTTTATGTTAGTGTTAAATGCATAGTATAGTTTCATCTTGAGTTGAGTTGAGCTAATAAATCAATAGAAAATAGCAATTTGTACATGTTCTGATTCTGATTACCAAACCCTCCGCTTACCTTGTACCATATCAAAGTCTTGTTAGCGGGTGGAATATTCCCCTTTTTCCACAGTGAGCTATTTGCGAGACTGACTTTATCTAGTCCAAGGTATTCTCCCTCAAGTCCCACCTGATAACAGTGATTAATAGCATCAGAATCCGAGTAGAAAATTCCGTTAACAGTGAACAAATAATTCCTTTGCCCATTTGCTGCTTGAAGCAGTTAGGATTCCCAACTAAACTCGGAACTGGCACTGTTCCAGTACAAGATCTTCTTGCAGAGAAGCGTAGAATCAGATCAGCTTTCCATTTAAAACAAAGGAATATGGGGGAAGAACATTGAAAGATCATGATCTGATAGGATGAAAGCAAGGGGTTTACATCTAAATTAATTTGCTATTGTGCAGCCAAAATTCTTCTGAATTTGCCACACATGATAATTCAATATATCCCAAGATAATTTTGTCAATGCACAGACTTTCACCTGATAGGTCCACTCTCCAGAAGAAACATC